AAATTCAGCGAGCAACCCGCAATAGTGGGAAATGAATGAAAACAAAAATTAAAGATGAAAGCTAAAGCATCCTGCTAAACATCATGAAAATCACATGGCATGTAGAGAGTTTAAAACAATTCAAGAATGAAAAGATGAATCGACACATAAATACGCAAACTGGCATTGATAATAAAGGTGATAACATCGACGACAACAACAACAACAACAACAAACAGTAATAACAATAATCACATTCACTTAACAACGTCATTAGCAATAATATTCGAAGAACCATGTAAGCAGTCACTCCAATCAGCAATTCAGTGCTGCTTCAAAAAAACACCAACGGAATCATTCATACTCATAAGCAATACCCCAGCGCTGTTTCCAAAATAGCTCAGCGCTTCTCAAAACGGCTATGAACACCATAAAATCGAATTGGATGTTGCTGATCCGAATTCCGGACCTCCACTTGGAGTTTAGTTAATCGCTTTAAAAGATGAATCCGCTAAATGCAATTCAGCTTTTGCTGGCTACAGATTTAATGTTAGATTGTGTTTTCAGTTTGATTGAACTTGCAAGATCGGATTCTCGCACCCGTTTTGGATACAATTTATTCCTATGTTTCTTCTCCTTCTCAGTCATCTTCGTCATCAGAATCCAACTGCTTTTGCTGATCTTCACTGATACTCAACGCCATCACATTTGCTTCAAGTTCGATTTCTTCAAGTTCCAATTCAACATCCGCCTTTTTCAAGTCAATTTCACGAATTTCCATTTCGAGCCATTTGATTAATTCGTCGTCAACTGCTTGAATCCAAATGCAATAATCAGTCATAAATAGATCATTGAATAGGTATCGGAAATCGCCACTTGTCGAGAAAACCGTTCGAATATCGATCAAACAGTGCAGAATCGCGGAACGATCTGATAACAACAGGTAATTAATATATGTATCTTTAACAAATCGTAGTATTGAAAGCAGCACTGTCATTCTATCGAATCAGATAAATTTTGAGAAATGCAGTCATCATTAGAAATATAGCTCCTCTGGCAAAATACTCCAAATTCTTTCGGTTACATTCAAAAAGCAAAATATGAGGAATCAACCTTGAAAAGAGTGAAATTCGCAAACTGGATCGAAACGGTTCAGAATCAATAGCAACTCGAAGGAAAACGCACCTTTTCGAAGAAGTGATTTCAGATCACACAATATTTGCATTCCAAGATCCCAGTGTCGATAGAGTGGATAGCATAAGGACCGCCGTACACTCGCGATTAACGCTTGTCTGGCCGTTGGCCATCGAACCAAATACGACAACGACGCACTCAGCTTTGCTATTGTCCACCCTCAAACGCGGATACTTCAGTTTGTTGCGAAGAAAATTTTCCGAGCTTTATTTCCATTTTTCCGTGGTTACCATTCACAACAATCAGAGACATGGCAACCGGTTGACTGACCTGATTCACAGTTATGTTCGCCATCATTAGTCCTCAAATCGTAGAGATAGGCAAAGAGAATGTCCAACAATGATAACGCCAATTGTTTGTTGCGTTCCTCGCTGAGTTTAGGCAGTTGTCGTTTGGGTAACTCTTTCAAATGTTCGCGATCTTGGAACGTCACATCGAAACAGTTTTCAGGGAATTCGAATTGCATACACGCCTCCAATTGCTCATTTTCTTCCATTGTATCGGCTCTACAATATCAACACTTCACATCAAGTTTTTCACTTCGACAATATTGTTACTCGCATAAAACAGTAACGAGAAATGCCCTCGGTGTGGAAGCATAACACGAAGCCGACTAGCTCTGTAGTGCTGTGCGAGTGATGACAGACAAAACCATACATATAGTGGTCGGGTTGAAATGAAATTTGGTCATGTGCACAACACGCTGCATATCGCTCGTCAATTTTCGACTCTTCACAATCCTCTAAATCAATCAAATTGTCAATGTCAACTGCTAATCGTCCCAAAACACCATGACGACTCCATGCGAATCCATATCCATACATTTGGCATATCTCATCCAATGGTTCTTCTTCTGCACGACCTTCGCTTTGGTCGACGTAATATTCGTCTGAAACGGATATAATACTATCACATGTTTCCTTTTCATTATGGTTTCATTATAACGGTATTATAAAAACATTTTATTATACCCATTAGACAGCGCAACAACATAAACAATGCGAACAATTCCAGAAGGTAACCTCCTCCATCGTTTGCAATTTCCTCAACGGGCTTTTCAGCAGTTAACTTCTTCTGCGGTCTCAGCAGTTCAGTGATCATATCTAAATTCTCGAAATGCTCGCCTTTTGTTTTCTTTGGTACCTTCACCATGAAGCAACCTGAATGAATTCAGACGTTCGCAAACCATCAAAATGGTACACTTGAAAATTTGATGAACATTCAAAAAATAACTCCAAATAATGGAGACTCCTCACGATAAATGTAACGATTCGAGAGAATTACAACCAAAATATAAAAGAATGCATCATAGAATGTGTTGAACCTCTGTCCACATCGTAGTCAGCTGATCCATCATCCGTCTGCACAATCGCACCGCTCAAATGAAGTCTGAGGAAATAGGGCTTTGACGAGAACATGAACACATTACCATCATATTCAATCTCAGTATCTTTCACATTCGCATAAGGTGCTCGTATATCAATGAACAGGAACTGATCGTCTTGCTTAATCACGAACACAGGTGTTAGCATTGCTTCGTTTTGACTGTCACTCGAAATCCGGCTTTAAATGTTGATATTTCTTATTCCTCCATAAAAGTTGACGAATCTAAGCACTGAATTTCCCGATCTGTAATGAACTCATTGCAGTCACCAATGAATTTGTTGCAATCAGTGATAAACTCGTTGCAGCCAATAACAAACTTTCATCTGATTAATCAATTAATGACAATTCATCTATCTGATTGTAATTGCTTGCAGTCTGAAGTGTTTGCAATTGATTGGAACTGCAGCAAGTTGCACACAATCAATTAACTGCAGCTGATTGCGACTACAATCAGTTTAGCGTAATCGTTAGCGATTTATCACTGCCTGCAATAAACTCAACACCGATTGCAACAAGCTCACTGATGTTGCAATATGTTCAGTTTTGTATGGAAAACTCTATAAATACTAAACAGCGGCATTTCTGAATTGATTTTAGAGGATCGTATAGCGATCAAGTAGTATCAAACATGAAACCATCGCTTGCAATAGCTGAGAAAACAGTGTTTTCAATGGAAATCATTCCGTAAAAAAACCCATCTGGCTTGAACCAATGTAAATGTGCTAAAGAAATTTTATCTTCCGATGGAGATATTGCAAAAAANAAAAAATCCTAAAATCGGTAACAATTCTAATGATAATGCTAATCAACTAGTCATCGAAAATCTGTAATTACAGTTTTATGATACAGCGCTTGTGACGGTTAAATGTGACGATATGAGAATGTATATCTCCAAAGATATAAAAAGAAGACAGAGCAGACTAGAACTGCATATCGACATAATTTACTGCTACAGATCAAAGACACCGATTCAGCAACTGCAATCAACGAATATTCATTTATTCAACTTTATTGGTCTGAATCATACAACAAACGTAATCATTTCTAACAATTCACCACATATTACTACAAATGTACACTCGAGTAGTATATCATAAAAACAACAAACAGTGCTCATTTCAACATCACTATTCGTTGTTCCATTGAGAATATGAAGAAATGAAGTTGAAATCAATCTATCTGTACAATATCACACAATGAATGAATTAAACACAATCAATTTATCGGATTTTACTTCGCATTTGCAAATTAGTTCAACGGAAATGATTAAAGAGAGAAAGCACTTAAGTCAT